TTTTAATATTTATTTTTTAGTTATAGGTGGACATAATATCTTTATTTTATCTTTATGTGGTCCTGAGGTTTGAACCTAGTGCCTCATGTGTGCTAGCCGAGCACTCTACCACTGAGCCACAACCCCAGCCTGTGTTGCTTTTTTTTTTTTTAAACAAACAGGAAAGGGAAGAATGCATGAAAAGTGTTTAAATGAGTAAGCACAGCTAAGACATTGTAAATAAAGAGAGGACAAATATCCTTTACAGTGAAAATTTAGAAATTAAGATTATTGTGGAATTGCCATTCTAACTAAGAAGACATGAAAATATGGGGGGGGGCAATTTTATTACTTTAACTTACATATAATATCTGAGGACTAGGCTTTTTAAAAATTCCATTAAATGATATACTTTAGTAAATAAAGAATTATTTATAATCAGTTTGGGCACAGTGGCACACACCTTTAATCCCAGTGGCTTGGGAGGCTGAAACAGGAATTTCACAAGTTCAAAGCCAGCCTCACAACTTTATGAGGCCCTAGGCCTTAGTGACACCCTGTCTCAAAAATAAAAACACAAAAAGGGATAGGGATGTACCTCAGTGATAAAGTACCCCTGGGTTAAATCTATAGTACCAAATATATATACATTATTTACAATCATGTTCTTAGTAGCTTAATCACTTGTCCTGTAAAATTATTTGTAAGCATAACAAAATACAAAATACAGACAGCAAGAAGTCTAGCCCCATGTCCAAATAACTAAATTTCAAACTAGTGTTTGAATTCTAAGTTCTGCTGAGAGCCATGCGTCATTCCTACTTGGCTATGGCTCTCAGCAAAGTTCAATAATTCTAGTTTGAATTCTAAATTCAATAATTCTAAGTTCTTCAACAAATGGTCTAATGTACAACAGAAACAAGTTCATTTTGCTTTGCTGTGCCATCTCTGAGGGCAAGAACCTTCTTTCTGAACCCCACTATGCTACCCCTGGTGAACTGTGCTCACATAGACAGGAGGAAGAAGGGTGGGGTAGAAGGGTGCTATAAAGATAGGAGAATTAATGAAATCAATATTTTTAGTGCTCAACTGCCATAAATTCTTCACTCTAGACAAGGTTAAGTCAGTACACCTCTATAATAACTACAGGCATGGGTTCATGAGCCAGATTACCTGGGTTAGTATGCTGGCTCTGCCACTTTCTAGGGGCAAATCATTTCCACCTTTCTGAGCCTCATCATCTCATCTGAAAAATGAGAACAGTACTTTTCTAAAGGGATAAGGATTTGGACAGTTTTATAAATAATATAATTAAAACAGTACCTGGCAAATAAGAAGTCATGTGAATATTAGGGTTTTTTTCCCCTTGAAATAGGGTCTCACCATATTGCCCAGACTGGCCTCCAACCCCTGGGGCTCAAGCAATCTTCCTGCTTCTGCCTCCTCCTGAACAGCTGGGACTATAGGTCTACACCACTCTGCCTGGCTTAGTTATTATTATCTGAGTCATCTTATGCTCCAGGCACTCAAAACATTGGGAGAGCAGGGGGTGAAGATTTTTTCAACTTGTAACCTACAGATTTTGATCATCATTTCAGCCCTTTAAATATATCTTGCTGGGGTACAGGATGTGAGTTGTGAGAATAAAGGATTACTTCAAGGTCTGAGCCACTAAAAGGGTTTTTGTATGGGGCAAGTCAAGAATTTTGTTTTGTACCTGTTAAGTCTGTAGTTCCTGTCAGACACTAACAGAGATGTGGAGTAAGCAATGGAATGGAGAATACAGGGAGAGGTATAGGCTGCGGATGGACACTTGGAAGTCATTAGCACACAGACAATACTTAAAGTCAAGATGATACTGCCCTTCAAGTGGCTCAGGCTTGAAGTAAACTTTATCATATAATATTCTATCTAGTAATTCAAATTTTAATTCAATTTAAATCCCATAGTATATGCTGAACCTTTATGATATTTTAATGCATTTTATCTGATTCTTTGGCTACAGATCAATTCATTTATTCATTTGACAAACATTTACTGAGTGTATATAACTATTCTGGGTACTGAAAATTCAGCAGTCAACAAAATCGACATAATCTCTCTCCTTATGAAGTTTACAGACTGATGGAAGATATAGATGTTAATCAAATAATCACACAAATGCAATATAAATTGTGATACAATATAAAAATTATAGTGTGAAAAATTATTTAGATTGGGTAGATAAATTCACTGCAAGGTTTCTCTCTTTTTTATAATACCTTTATATCTATCTATTTATTTATTTATTTTTATGTGGTGCTGAGGATTGAACCCAATGCCTCACATGTGCTAGGCAAGCACTCTATCACTGAGCCACAATCTCAGCCCTTTCACACTGTTTTCATCAGCAAGTGACAGAAACCTAGAGCTTAGCCCCTGGAAGGTTTCTCTTAAGGAAGAACATTTAAGTTAATGTGAATGAGAGTCATTTCTAACAATATGAACACTTTTGTTCAGCCAATGTGGAAAAAATTACCTTCTTTCTGCTTATCTATCTGGGGTTGAGTTGGTTATCTAACAGATGTAGTAAGTGTTTAAAAATAAATATAAACAGCAAATGCCTATAACCCCAATGGCTCAGCTCACGAAGCTGAGTCAGGAGGATTGCAAGTTCAAACCAGCATCAGCAACTTAGTGAGGCTCTAAGCAACTTAGCAAGACCCTGTCTCTAAAGAAAATATTTAAAAAGGGCTGGGGATGTAGTTTAAGTGCCCCAGGTTTAATCCCCAGTACAAAAAAAAAAACACAGCCAGGTACTGCAGCACACACCTGTAATCCAGTGACTGGGAAGGCTGAGGCAGAAGAATCAAAAGTTTGAGGCCAGCCTCAGTAAGTTAGCCAGAACTTGTCTCAAAATAAAAAATAAAAAGGGCAACTAAAAAGGGCTGAGATGTAGCTCAGTGGTAAAATGCCTCTGGGTTCAATTCCCAGTATCAAAAATAAAAATAAATAAACAAGATGCTACTATTCATCTCCTAGAAGGGCTATAACCCAAAAAAATGACAACACTGAAGGCTAGGAAGGAGGTAGAGCCACAGGAATTCCTGTTCACTGCTGCTGGGAATACAAAATTATATAGCCACTTTGGAAGACAGTTTGGCAGTTTCTTATAAAACAAACACACTTTTATCATAACATCCACCAATTGTGCTCCTTGGTATTTACCTAAGTGACCTGAAAACTTATATCCACACAAAAACATGTACACAAAAGATTAGAGCATCTTTATTCATAATTGCCAGAACTTGAAAGCAACCATGATGTCCTTCCGTAGATGAACACATAAATATGTCATGGTATATACAGACAATGGAATATTATTCAGCACTAAAAAGAAATGAGCTATCAAAACATGAAAAGACATGGAGGAAAATTAAATACATATTACTTAGTGAAAGAAACGATTCCAACTATATGACACTTTGGAAAAGATAAAACCATGAAGACAATAAAAATATTCAGTGGCTGCCAGGGGCTAGGAAGGAGGGAAGGATGAAGAGGAGAGAGAGAGGATTTTGACAGCAGTTAAATCATTCTATATGATTTTCTAATTGTAGAAACATATTAAACATTTGTCAAAATGAATAATGCCTCATCAACACGGTAAGATCTAATCTTCATTTGACTCAGCTCAAATGTCACCTCAATTATGAACCTGTGGCAAATCCCCTGTGGCTGTTTCTCTTCCATGCTCCTATAGAACTTTGTTCATCCCTCACATGGTACTCAGAATTTATTGTAATTAGTTATTTACACATCTGTTCTCCCGAGCTTAAAAACCACAGGGCTGGGGCTGGAGCTCAGTGGTAGAATGCTTGCCTAGCATGTGTGAGGCACTGGGTTCGATCCCCAGCACCACATAAAAATGAAACAAATAAAATAAGGGCACGCTGTCAGTCTACAACTACAAAAATAAAAAAAAAAGAATGAACAACAAAAATGAAGACCTATACTATTCATTCCACCAATGTTTGAGTGACTGCAATACGCCAGGCAATGTTGTATTACAAGACAGTAGCCAGAACTTTTTCCCTATTAATGCCTCTTTTAGCATTTTATCTGTAGGAACTTCCAAATGAGCCACTTGCTTCCTCATTCATGATTAGGAAATAGCTACTTGCCTGGTGTTTAGCAGTGAGTGGCATTATGACAATGAATAGCGGTGGGAAAGCACAAAACACTTATTCTATTCCCATAAATGTGTGCTTTAAGAGTGCAGTCTCTTGGGGCTGGGGTAGTGGCTTAGCGGTAGAGCACTCATCTTGCACATGCAAGACCCTGGGTTCGATCCTCAGCACCACATAAAAATATGTGAATAAAATAAAGGTATTGTGTCCAACTACAACTAAAAAATAAATATTAAAAAAAGAGTACAGTCTCAATTTCATATTCACCTTCTTTTTATCACTTTCTAGAGAATGTAACTAAAAGAGTTGGCATAAAGCGGGCTGGGTCTATAGCTCAGCAGTAGAATGCTTGCCTCACATATGTGAGGCACTGGGTTCAATCCTCAGCACCACATAAAAATAAATAAAGATATAAAAAAAGAGTTGGCATAAAATAGTATAGAAAATAGTAAATAAAGACAAAGTCAAAGTGATTTTGCCAATAAATACTTTAATGAGAACCAAGGTCTATAACATTCATAGCAGTAACTGTCCTGGCCTATGCCTTCTGCTCTAGCCTAAACCTGGGGCTAAGCAACTACATTTAACCAACATTTGAAAAGAAGGCCATTTTGAATGTCACCCATCAGTATCCATCTTCACAGAAGATACCAATCTGGGGCCAGAGTCTCAATGTTAACACTCCTCTCAGGGAAAAGTTAACATGATAACACAAACACATAAACAACTTTGAACCATCCTTTTTTCTTCCATCAGGAGGCCTTTGGGAGACCATTGGTTCAGTAAACACAACTTTGTCAAAATACATTATAACACGAAAAAGGAAAAAGAAAAAGAATAGAAAGGCTGTTCTTAGATTTGAAGCCTCTTGAGTTGCTCATATGTAATAAAAAACTGAGGAATAAGTCATGGAAGATCTCTCAGTTGATAATGAAAGCCAAATCCAGTTTTAAAATTGTGCATTGCATTCTCTTAAATTAAGGTACTTAGTCTGTGCTATTCTAAGATGCATTGGCTTAAAGGTCTTTTTTTAAAACAATACCTGTCAAATCAAAGATGTACTGAGTACCTACCATGTGCCCACTATGATTGCTGGCATTTAGGAATTAAACAGATTAAAATCCTAATATACTTAGGGACAAAGAGAACATACACAATATCCAAGAACATCAAGGACAATGTATAATTTCATGCTAGAATAATTGTTATACACATTAGGTGATTAGAGGAATTTCAAAGAGTTCAGGAAAGACATAATATCTCTGTCAGCCTACAGACCCCATAGGGAGGGAATTACTTTTCAACCCTGTGGTGCTCATGACTATTCACAAAGCACCACACACAGTGCCCAATACATGGCTCTGCACAGCTAAAGGAGGGCAATTCACCCACAAGAAAATTTCTTGTGGATTTCTTCACTCTATGAATGTATTCTGTCCTGTTATTATTTCCCAGCTATTTTAGTCCTATAGTTAGGAGTAGGAAATCCAGACCACCTCAGCATGAACTTTCCTGTGGGCATCTCCCATCAGGGCTTCTAAAAACTTCATAGTCCCTTCCATATTGGCTGTGTTTGTAGTCATTTTGATTGGAATAGGAAAACAAGAAAGTTTGGTAGATATTTCCAACCCCTTTTAGTTTGTATTAGCCTCCAATTAAAAGCTATTTCTCTATATTTAGTTCCTATATTTAGTTCTCTGTATTTAGTTCCTATATTAAGTTCTCTATATTTAGTTTCAATGGTCTTCATTAGGATGCTTGAGTTTCTTACTTATTTACTTTCATAATCAAATTTTCCTTCCCATAGCCTAGAATTATCTGGGATCTTGAAATACCTGCTTTCATTCTCATGTATGAAAAGGATACAATGATGTTCCATGGTCCAAGTCGAAGCCAGTTTGGCCAAAATCCTTTATAGAGGGCAAAAAAGCCTTCATGTTTCCACATCTGAAGGAAAGATATAACAAAAAACAGTAAATTCCCTTTCTCTTTACATGTGACAATCATTTTCCATCCCCACCCCAGCAACTTATGGCTCCATGAATGTTTTTTTCCTAAAAATACACTTTGAATTCATAAGTAGTCTAAAGACATCTACCCACTTATTCAACAAATATTTACTAAGCACCTACCATATGCAAGGCACTGTTTTTGATGCTGGAAATAGAATAGTACACAAATAGTGCCTGTGGTAGCCAGCCTCTAAGATGGCCCTTAATAAAACTTACCTTCAGGTTATTCATGCCCTTGTGAAGCCCTCACCCATAATGTATCAGGACTGCTCTGTCACCAATAGAAATATGACAGTAGTTTATACATGTCACTTCCCTTGCTAGGTTTTAAGATATTTTAGAGCCAGGTACAGAGGCTCATGTCTGTAATCCTAGATACGTAGGGGACTGGAACAGAAGATCACAAATTCAGGGGCAGCTTAGACAACTTGGTGAGACCTTATTACAAAATAAAAATAAAAAGGGGGGCTGGGGTTGTGGCTCAATGGTAGAGTGCTCGCCTAGCATACATGAGGCACTGGGTTCGATCCTCAGCACCACATAAATGTAAAATAAAGATATTGTATCCATCTAAAACTTAAGAATAAATATTTTTAAAAAAATAAAAATAAAATAAAAGGGCTGGGGAGTGTAGCTCAGTGATAAGAGTGCTTTTGGGTTCAATATAGTATCACAAAAATATTCATATATATATAAGGCATCTGCCTTATTATGATCTTAAATCATTCACTCTGAAGGAAAGCAGCCACTGTGGCATGAAGAAAGGCCTACACAGTAAGGAAATAAGACTTCCAGTCAACAGCCCACATGAGCAGTCTTTGAAGTAGATATCTTAGCTCCAGTCAAACCTTTAGATGACTGCAGTCCTAGGTGACATGTGGACTACAATCTCCTCTGAGACCCTAAATTAGAATCACTTAGCTAAGCTACTTCCCAATTCCTGATCCACAAAAACTCCAAAGTAGCAATATTTTGTTGTTTTAAAGCACTGCAGTACATAACTTACAAAGTCCCTCCCCTCATTGAGTACATATTCTCTAGTGGGGCTGACAAGCAAATACACAAATTGATATATATGATAACTAGGAATAAATGCTATGAAGAAAAGTAAAACAGGGTGTAAGTCCATAGGGAGTTGGACAACTCATTGTTCCAACATTGTAAATTCTGTGTGACCCCATGGTCTATTTCATATGAATGCTTTCAGGATTACAGGAGGAACAATGTAAACTGCTTTGTTTCAGTTTCCTGCTTTGTACAATATGGTGCGGGGGGCGGGGTGTCTCTGTATAGACCAAGTGGTTATAAGATCTAAATGATAAATTATGTATACTCAAGCTCATAAACTGTTGGTATGTGCTGAATTTTGCCAGCAGAAACTGTTATTTTATAGTTTTTTTACTGTTATTTAATAGATATTGTCTGTTTTATATATATATATATATATATAAACAGACAAGTATCTATTAAGTAAATACAATGTGTTAGGCATTGTGTTAGATATTGAAAAATATTATTTTTCCTTTGAATTGGTGAAGTGAAATTTAACACTATATAAAAAGTGGATGTATTTGGATAAGACAATATGAGAAGCCAGATTTACAAATATCCCTATCTCCCCTTACAGCTTAAGAACACTAGAGATAATTATCCTTACTAATCAATTTTGGAAGAAACAAAGAATAATATAATGAGGGTACTATTTATGGAAACACAGTGGTAATGTTGACATCGATGGATCTTTAGCAAATTCTGAAGGTCTCAGGCCAAAACTAATGCTGAAAAATTTAACAATCACTCAAAACAAAAGCTTAGATGAAGATAACCTAGAATCGTCAACAAATGACAAGGGACCTCAGAGATACATTATAATCCCATCTTCTCTTACCTGGAATACCTAACTGGTCTAAAATCTCTATCTAGAAACCAGAACAATCTTTAAGAGTTATAAATCAGATCATGTCACTTTTCCATTTAAAGATCTCAGATGGCTTTCTTGTGGATTTCATTCTAGTTGCAAATTCTCTGCAATGACACACAAGAACTTACATGATTTAGCCTCTGCCTCTCTCACTAGTTTCACTTCCTACTACTTTCTTTTTCACTCACCATACTCAGCCACACAAGCCTACTTTCTAATTCTTGAACATATCAAGCTCATTCCCAACTCAGATCCTTTGTAAGCTGCTCCTTGTTTATGAAATGCTTTTTTCAAGGTTCTACACATGGCCACCAATTCCTCATCATTCACATGTCAGTTTGTTACCTCCTCACAGGTTTTTCTTTTTTTTTTTTAAGAATTTTTTTAATATTTATTTTTTAGTTTTTGGTGCACAACATCTTTTGTTTGTATGTGGTGCTGAGGATTGAACCCAGGCCGCACGCATGCCAGGCGAGCACGCTACCGCTTGAGCCACATCCCCAGCCCCTCACAGGTTTTTCTTGACCATCTAAGCTGAAGTAGTTCCCAAGCACCCAGTGAATATTTTAATATGCTCTATTTTCTTTCTAATATTTACTTCTATCTAAAATTATACCATTTGTGTGTACATGTGTATTTATTGTCTGTCTCCCTTAACTAAAATACAATCTCCAAGAGTGCAGGAACTATGTTTGTCTTGTTTACCATTTCATCCCCACCATGTCTGCCCCATTTAAGTTTCCAACAAATTTGTGGGAAACAAATGTTGATGGTCTCTAACAATTCTGTCAACCATCTAAATCCTTATAAATCTGCAAAATAGTGAACACCTTCAAAACTTGAGAAGTGGAAGATATTTTCTTGTTTGAGACAGATGTGTGAAAATAAGAACTTTGGTAGATAAGCATAGACACAGAATACTTTATGAAGATACATATTTTAGTTCATTTAATAATTTGCTGTGGAAAAGTAATAAACAAGATGCATACAGCTCTACCTTCATGGAATTTATACTCCACCAGGACAGAAGACACTAAAAGCAATTACAAATATGAATAAACAGAAACACACAACATTATTCAGCAATAAGAAGGAATAAAGTGCTGATACATATTACAACATGTAATATGTTGAAAACATTTATGGTAAGTGAAAGAATCCAGTCAAAAATTTATATATTGTATGATTCCATTTACACGAAATATCTAGATGAGGAAAATCTATAGAGATAGAAAGTAGGTTAGTGGCTGCTTAGAACTAGATGGATGGGGGATAAGGGATGAAAGCTAAAGGATATAGGGATTCTTTTTGAGGTTATAAAAATGTTCTAAAGTTGATATATCTCGTTGTGATATGCTAAAATGCTAAGTATACTAAATATTGTATGGGTTAATTTAATGATATGTAAATTTTTAAAAATATTAATAAATGCTATGAGAGAGGAACTACAAGAAACTCTTGAATATATAACCTAGTTTAATGGTCAGGGAAGACTTTTTTTGAAAAAGTAATGAGATCTGAAGTATGACTAGGAACTGGCCAAGTGAAAGATGTATTTGGGGTGGTATATGGCATGGGTGAACATGTGAAGGGAAAAAGAAAACCTAGGGCTGGAAATTTTTAGTGTGCCTGGAATGTAAAATAAAGGTGATATAAATAAGGCTATAGGAGAGAAAAGGGATCATAGAGAGCCTGGAGTCAGCCTCTCAAGTCACTGGGATTATAGGTATATACCACCACATTTGACTCACTAACGAACTTTAGATAGGGGTGACAGGATGAGATTTGCAGCCATTCTTCACTATGTCAGAGATGAATGCATGACTCCTTACCAAAGTGTTTTAGGACTCTAAAAGAGGAAATGCAAAATAATATGGAAGGTACATCATATATAATGATGACATAAAACAAAATCACTTTAAAGAACTTTCATAGCAAGTACATGAATGAGTGAACACATATAAATACTTAAAGGTACTACCAATATAAAAATATATTTCTGCAGATACAACACAGCATAGTTGTTGTAAGTAAACTTCAGAATTAGACCCTAGAGTCAATCTCAGATCTGCCACTCATTAGCTGTGTATCTTAGGCAAGTTACTGGCCAAGCTTAGCTACTATGATTGAAAGTTTCCTCATTTATAAAGAGGGAAAGATAATATCTTCTCCATAGGATTTGTTAAAGCATATACTCTATATAGAGTGCCTGGCACATAATAAGCATTCAATAAATGCTATTATTATATTATTTTACCTTCTGTGAGCTCTTAGCCAACCTTCTTGAAAGAGTGCTTTATACCTATCTACTTATCCTCACTTACCTATGTGTTTATCTCCTCCTATTAGAATTTAAGTGTCATTTTGTTCACCAACATATCTATACCAACCTAGAACACTGTCTATCATGTGATACACAAACTGTTTTCACTGAATGAATGAATGATTAAACATATTCCTCAACACACAGTAATCCACACAGTTCAACACACAGTTCAAACACCAATCCATGAAACCTTACTTAGAGAATATTAAATCCAACAGATATTTGGTAATCCTCATCATCCTATATTTCTCTATTGCATATGACTCATTCCTTCCTGAAACTCATTACTCCTTTGGCTTCTATGACATCACTCTCTCCGAAGTTTCCTCATATCTTTTAAACTGTCTTTCCTGGGGTCATCACCTACTAAGTTCTTAAAAATTGATGTTCCCCAGTGTTCTTTCCTTAGTCCACTCCTCTTCTCTCTATTCCAACGACTGTCAAATGGAGAGGTGAACATGTCAGAAATACCAAGGGAGACTTTTGGCAAATTAAATTCCCCAGGGTCTGAGAATCACTGCCTCAGTGAATCATTATTACTGGAAAGAATTATATACTGCTGCAGTGTGCTAGGAAGGCAAAAAGGTTGTGAACACCTCTACCTGCTCTCCTTGGTTATGAACCACCTATATGCTAATGATCCCACAAGGTCTTATCTACATCCATGAAATTTCCCATCTTAGGGCTAGTATATCCATACATATGCACTGGGTGTTTCTCATGAGCACATCAAACTAAGTATCCACAACTATGATGTTTCCCACAAAACCTATTCCCCTTCCTATGATGCCTCTGCCAATGAATATTGCCATCTGGTCATCAAATCCAAAAATCTGAAAATCATCTTTGATATATCCTTTCTCCCACACTTCTCAAACAAATTTTGTTGACTTTATCAACTACATTATTTTCAATTCTGTACCACCTCCTACATTCCCACTACCATTTTAAAGTTAAGGCCTTTATCACTTCTAGCTCACATTAGTATAAAAACCTTCCAGTCAGCTTCTATATCTCTAGGTCTGCACTTCTGAAAGTGTGGTTGCCAGGCTAGTATTATCAGTGTTGCCTGGGAACTTGTTAGAAGAACAACTTCTCAGGTCCTATTGCTGACCAACTGAATCAGCATCTAGAGATAGTGCCTAGATAACTGCATTTTAACAAGCCTTGCAGATTGTGAGGCATGTAAAACTTTTAAAGACCCACTACTTCATGCTTATCCCCTTAGATTAGTAGTCTTCAGCCTTGGATGAATATTGCAGCAGCCTAAGAAGTTTTAAGAATAGTGATGCTTGTGTCTTACACCTCAGGTCCTGAGTTGATTGTTCTAAGGTAAATGCAGTACCTGTGAAACCCAAGTGATTAAATTTGCCACCTCTTTAAAGGCAATTCATCTATTTAAAATGCAAATATGAGCAGAAGTACCAGGGATTGAAATGGAGAAAATTATATTCTATGAATGTATGAATAAATCAAAATGAACTCTACTACTATGTATAACTCTAACACATTAATAAAAACATTAAAAAGTGAAATGTAAATGTGACCTGATTAAAAAGCTTTAAATATTTTTCTACCAAGTTAAAAAAAGTACAAGCTTATCAGCATAACATTCAATACTCTTTATAGCCTAGCCAAAATTTAGCTACCACTATGAGGAAGGCATCACAATGTAGAAGCTAAGGTCGGTTGGAAGCCAAATGGTCTAAGTTTATCCCAGCACTCCCACTTACTAGCTGTGGAACCCTGAGGTTACTTAATCCCTCAGTGCTTCAGTATCTACCTCATGTGGTAATGATGAGGATTAAATGAAGGAATACATGTAAGTCTCATTAGGACAGCTCCTGACACACAATGAAGTACTAAACAGACGGGAGTTGTTATTATGTAATTTACCACCATCTACAGGGATTCAATTTCAAATTTCCAAATTGGACTGTAATTATCTCCCACATAACTCTGAGTTTATCATTTACCAGGCTTTATCAATTATTTCTTTATATACCTATAGTACATTTGTAATAGCTATTTCTCTGTGCCTAATATATAATAATTGCTCAATGAATCTGATAACAGCAGAGAAATAATATGGCAGCACCACATTTTAGCCCCAGGTTTGTTTCTGTAGCAATGGTTTTACTAATAAATATATATAATACATTTATATAATATTAAAAAACATAACAGCAAAAACTTTCAAAGCAAAATATGAACAATAAAACAATCTTGAACTTAAATCAAGCACCAGGTTTCTGGGCTGTTTTCAGTACCAGAATTTGTATTACAGAATCTCTGTTTTATCTGAAGTGGGTAAATGTGAGATATGTTAAGTCTTTTCTATCTTTTCTATCAATAATTCTACATGGTACTACTGTATTCTCAAGCACTGAAATTGTAATAATGATATTAAGGACCACTGAGCATCATCAGGTGGCCAAAAAGACAGATTTTCTACCTGGAAATGACTTAGAGAGGCTACATAATATACATAATGGTTCTTTTATCTTCAGAATGATATGTAGCAACTAAGAATAAGAACTGATAAAAGATCTGAGATATCAAAGAAAACCAAAAATGTAACCCAAACCCACATTTTGCATACCTTTAAAATACCATCCAAAGTTCCCTTATAGAGGTCCACATGTCCCACGATTGCCCTCTGGTTCATCATGCGAGTTCGCACCACATCAACTGGATTGGACGCCAGAGCCCCAGCCAGGCCACATGTAAAGCTGGAACTAAAGATGAAAACTTTAAGAAAATAGATTGTCCCCACTTCCATCTCCTGTTCACTTAAAGAGAAATTAAGCCGAACATAAAGGTACAATAACTCAGACCTATCAGATAAAACCTGACATTTGCCCTTTCATTACAATCTAAAGAAAAAAGGAAATCTTTTCTAAACAAACATCATTCAAGGTTGTCTCATCAGTTTTTCAATCTGACACTTGCCCCCTTTTTCAAAGTAGACAGTTTATATGCTTAACAACACCTCCAAGCAGGAAGTGTAACTCATTATTTATTAGTTACATATAATTTTCAAACCACAGCATAATATGCCAAATACATTTAAATTACAAAACATCATAAAGGTTGCAGGACTAAAAAAATATAAAATGAGATCAGCAACAGTCTTTAGCCAAAAACTGTGGTTTAGATTCAGAGGCTCCACAAAACTTCACCCTTTTATCTTAGTCTCATTGAGAAAAGTTTGCTTTCTGATATAAAATAAACCAAGGAAAATAATAGATGAGTTTAGCATATAGAGTCTATATTTGAATATATGCAAATCTTATAAACATCTTGTAGGCTGCTGTATTACACACTGCTCTGCAGTACTCAAGTGCCCACAGCATCTGGGATCTCTCTGAAATGCAAAATGTGCAGAAATCTTGAAGTGCTGGAAATAAGAGAGACAAATGTATTATGGTCATATTTAACAGTTATTAATTTCACCTGTGAATGTCAGTGACTGAGGCTTTGTGTGCTCAAATTGCCAAAAGTATAAAATAAATACAACCTTTCCTACTTACACAAAGTGAGTTAAAATTGTATCTCCCATCATTCCTGACAATATCAGGTGCTTCTTGGTAATATCATAGACTGGTAGCTCTACTCCCACAACAATGGCAGCACGCTGAGCAGTTGGGACCACACCCTACAAAACATAAGTTAACATTAGACACTAAGGAAATAAAGAGAGTGACATAAATCTCCAAGTGAATAAAATAGGTCAATAGTTGAAAAGTATGGGGGAAAAAAGCCAAGTCTGAAATACAGAGATCATTCTTTCAAATCAGTGACTAAAACTTACATATTCCCAACTTACTTGCTGTACTAAAAATAAATTCACTGATATGACACCTAAAGCGTGAGACAAAAATAGATAAATCAGATTTCATCATTAAAAATTTTGCGATTTATGGGGCTGGAATGTGGCTCAAGTGGTAGCGTGCTCGCCTGGCATGCGTGCGGCCCTGGTTCGATCCTCAGCACCACATACAAACAAAGATGTTGTGTCTGCCGAAAACTAAAAAATGAATATTAAAATTCTCTCTCTCTCTCTCTCTCTCTCTCTCTCGCTCTTTAAAAAAAATTGCGATTTAAAAGACACCATCAAGAGAGTGAACAGGAAACCCACACAATCAGAAAAAATGCTTGCAAATCATGTATCTGATAAGGAACGAGTACCCAGAATAAAAAAAAAAAAAAACACGTGATAAAAAGAAAAATAATCCAATTTTTTAAATGGACAAAAGATCTAAAGACACTTACCCCAAAGAAAATATGTGAATGACCAAAAAGCAAATGAAAAGTTGCTTAACATCATTAGTCATTAGGGAAATGCAAATCAAAATCATAATGACATGCTACTTCACAGCAACTAAGATGACTATAATTATTTTTTTTAAAGTAAAATAGCAAGTGTTGGCTAAGATGTGGAGAAAGTGGAACACTTATACACTGCTGGGGTGGGGACACAAAATGAGACAGCCACTGTGGAAACAATTGGCATTTCCTCAGAATGTCAAATACAAGATTACCATATGATTCAGCAATTTCATAACTACGTTCATACCCAAGAAAAATGAATATATAAATATTCATGCAAAAATGTATAGTCAATGTTCATAGTGACATTAGACACAATAGCCAAAAAGTAGAAAACAACCTAAACATTCGTAAATTGATGAAAGTATAAACCAAAAAATGTAGAATTATTATTCAGCCATAAAAAGAAATAAAGTACTAGTACTGGGGATATAGCTCAGTGGTAAGGCACCTGCATAGCACACACAAGGCCCTGGGTTCCATCCCAAGCATTGCAAAGAAAAAAAAGTACTGATACATGCTGCAACACACATGAACCTCGAAAAAAGTATGTTAATGCCAGTCACAAAAGACTATACATGATATGCTTCCATTTATAAGAAATATCTACAATAGACAAATATATATGGACAGAGAATAGAGTAGTAGTTGTATAGGGCTGGGAAGGCTGGGAGAAATAGAAAATGAAAACTAAAGGGTAGGGTTTTTTTTTAAATATTTTATTAGTTGTTGATGGACCTTTATTTATTTATATATGGTGCTGAGAATCGAGTCCAGTGCCTCATATATGCTAGGCAAGTGCTCTACCACTGAGCCACAACCCTAGCCCCAGGGGTTTCTTTTTGATAATGAAAATGTTCTGAAATTAAGACAGTGGTAACTATTGCACAAATACATAAATATACTAGAAGCCATTACATTGTATACTTTAAAGGCAAAAGCTGCTATGAAAAATAAAACCATGAAACAAAAGTCAGTGAGGAAAAGTAGAACTTCTGAGTTTAATTCATAGAATTTTAGGATGTACAGAATGCACACACAGTAGGGTAACAGTAAAGGTATGAAGCAGCTATGGAAAAAGGCCTAGGAAAAGCAAAACTTCCCCTTTCAAGTCCTTACAAGTTCTGTGGGAATAGTATCAGTGATCTACTCACTAACATAATATTCCTTTCATAGCTCACAAGATAATAGAGGGTTGCTAGAGCATTAAAAGTCACATATTTGAAAGAATATTAATGATACAAGAATATTCTTGATATAATGTTAAAGAAGGCAAGACATAAAATTATATATAGTAATATTCTAACTTTAGGGAAAAAGGTATACATATACACACATATACCAAATTTTAGAAAGGATTAGAAGAAAACACATCTGGGGTTAGGAAAACAGATAAATTAACTTTCGTTTTTATGCCTTTTATATATGTTATTTGTTTTTTTTAGATAATCCATGACAGTAGAGTGTATTTTTATATATTACACATACATGGAGTACAACTTACCCTAATTAGAATCCCATTCTTGTGATTAACAATGTTGTGGAGCTACACTGGTTGTGTATTCATATATGAACATTGGAAAGTTATGTCTGATTCATTCCACTGTCTTTCCTATTCCCATGCCCCCTCCCTTCCCTTCATTCCCATTTGTCTAATCCAATAAACTTCGATTCTTCTTTCCCCTCCCCCTTATTGTGTGTTAGCATCCACATATCAGAGAGAATATTCAGACTTAGGGGTTTTTTTGATTGGCTTATTTCACTTAGCGTAATAGTCTCCAATTCCATCTATTTACCGGCAAATACCATATTTTTCACATTTTCACAATTAAATATTTTACCTTTATAATTGTTTATCATTAAAATTGAAAATTACACCCCTTAAATATGAATACTTTTTTATCAATCATACCTCAATAAAGCTGGGGAATTAATGAAAAAATATAAATGAATTTTAAAAATTGAAAATAACATACCAGGAGGATAACTGCTTTCTGGAATAACTCTAATATTAAAATGTTCAATCACTTCTAAATTCCCAAACTCAATTTATAAAGTAGAAGTGATATAACTATGCTGAAATGCTTGATTCTGATAATCTGGCCAAACAGTGCCTTCCTCTGTGACTCTTTTACCTGCTTCACTGTTAAATAGGATGATGTTTCCAGAAGACTACTTGTAAACAGTAAGGCCCCAAACTGGGACCCACAGGTAGAATTCAGGCCACAGACATGTTTTGTGTGGCCCACAGAATAATTTTAAAAATTCAGAAGTTGTCAATATGTGAAAAATTAGGATACTTTACATAGAAATGCACATTTCTAGATTTTCTTGAAAGGCTAGAAAACTTGGCCACACTGGGCTTACCACCAATACATGGCAGCTAGAGCTAAGAAGAAACTGTCCTCTTTCAAAGTGGCTGGTGCTTTGTAGTTCAAACCACAGCCCTCACCATACAACTGGCTCTCCAACTCTGACTGAAGTCCTGGTTATACTTTGTTATTATACTCCTGCTATTTTTTTCTTAGGAAGAAAATGAAATGTTTCTGGTACCCATGTTACAATCAAAGCAGGAAAATAAACCATGTATTTGAAGAAAATCATAAGCATAGTTCCTTGTTGAAAAGAAAATATTCCTGTGTTTAAAATATGTCTGCATCAAAAAGGATACATGATATAATGTTTTTTGCTTCTCTACATTGCATGCCTTGATCATGTAATTAGCCTGGATCATAAAAGTAGCTATATTCAGTTCCTAAAAAAACTAAATAAAGATTTACCACTTCTGGATATATAACCAAAAGAATTGACTGCAGGGGCTGGGGCTGTAGCTCAGTGGCAGAGAGTTTGCCTAGCATGTGTGAAGCACTTGGTTAGATCCTCAGCACCACATGAAAATAAACAAATAAAATGAAGGCATTCTGCCCATCTACAACTATAATTTTTTTTTTAGATTGACTGCAGGGTCTCAAAGATATATTTGCATACCCATTTACATAGCAGTATTATTCACAATAGCCAAAAGGTGAAGCCACCTAAGTGTTCATGAATGGTTGAATAGATAAACAAAATGTGGTATATACATACAATGGGATTATTCAGTCTTAAAAAAGGAAGGAAATGCTGATACATGCTACCATTTGGATGAACCTTAATGACATTATGCTAAGTGAAATCTCACAAAAGGACAAATATTATATAATTCTATTTATATGAGGTATCTAGACTAGTTAAATTCATAGAAAGAGAGTAGAATAGGGGTTGCCAGGGGTTTGGGGTAAGGGAAACATGGAGTTGTTAATGGGTACAGAGTTGCAGTTTTGTAAAATAGAGTTCTGAAGACTGGCTGCACAACAATGTGAATGTATTTAACACTACTGAACTATACACATACAAATGGTTAAGGGATCAATTTTATGTAGATTTTACCACAATTAAAAACAAAAATATCTATGCTCCCTTGACAATATCCCCCATTCTACTTATTGCTTTGTCTTTGTCACCTGGAATCAGTTTATGAAAAAGTTCTAGTTAGTTTTATTTTCTGGTTTTAAGGTAGACTAATCAAGAAAGTACACCAAGCTGTGATCAAAGAGCAAACTTTAAGGATCATTAATGGATGCTATGATCATAACATGAAAGATTATGTCTATCTCAAAAGAATACACAACACAATGTACTTTGCTTCTTTGTTATGTGCCAGAATCATCCAACTAGCCTGGATCATAAAAGTATGTCCAGTTATGAAGTATTATATAAATGTTGCTAGAAGATCCCCTCACAGATTACTTGCTAATTGTAAAGGGAAAAATTATCTTTTATAACAGCAAGACCTGGTGAACATCATTTTACCAAGTCATCAAACTTAGCACTATTAATCATGGGACAACCTAACTTTATGCACCTCTCGCTATGATGCAACATGAAAAACACAGCATCATCTATGAATCTCTCTAACCACAAATGCTTAACATGAATATAATCAAGCCAATGGTCTCAACGTTCAGCTTATTGTAAATATAAGGAACAGAGGAACTAGTTAAATACATCCTATAAGAAAACTAGTCTGATCTCATCAATAGAAAGATTTTTAACATAAAATGCATATTAAGTATTAGGGACTTATTGTTAACTTTCTTTCATTTGATAATGGTATTTTTATTGTATAAGAGAATGTTCATATTCTAGGAGATACATAATGAAGTATTCAAGGGAGCACCATAATGCCTACAACTTACTTTCACATGGTTTTTATATTTTATTTTATTTTTTAGTTGTAGTTGGACATAATACCTTCACTTTATGTATTTATTTTTATGTGGTGCTGAGGATCAAACCCAGGGCCTCGCACATACTAGGTGAGCGTTCTACTGCTGAGCCACAACCCCAGCCCCTTATGAGCATTTTTTGACATCTTTAAATATACAATATTTCAAAAAAAATGGCTATATAATATTCCTTGGTCTGAATATATTCTTTCTTCTCTGAACTTACAAATACTTTTTGTCTATCTGGGTATTCAAAGCATTTTGCCAGTGCTAAGGATATAGCAGTAAAGAACACATTGTTGGATGCTGAGATTTTAATATACCAGGATTTTTTAAAGAGAGAGAATATAAGGTTACTGCAAATAGACTGAGGGCAAAACATCTCTAAATATGTATCTAGGATATATTCCTTTTTTTAGGAATTTTTTTT